AAAATTGACATTTATATAGATAATTTTAATTAATTAATTAATTTAAAGTTAATTTTTACAACTTTTTATATCAATTAATTACCAAAATTCTATTTATTATATTTTTAATTAAAATTTGACATCTCTTGGGCTCGAACCTCCATCCTCATTTTGATCGACAAGACAACATAGCACTAGAACTATTGCAAGGTTATTATCAAATGCTAGACAATATTATATTTATTGATATATAATTGAATCGGTCATTTTAATGGTTTAATCGGTTAAACCAATCAAACCAACACCCAAAGGTAAAAACGGTTTGCAAGGTTATTATCAAATGCTAGACAATATTATATTTATTGATATCTAATTGAATCGGTCATTTTAATGGTTTAATCGGTTAAACCAATCAAACCAACACCCAAAGGTAAAAACGGTTTGACCTTTGGGTCTGTTTTCAAAACACTACCTTCTTACCTCAATTTTGTTTCTACCAAGGTTGGCTTTGTGTCCTTGATTACTCTAGTTACCTCTCAATCCAACCCATCAGTTACATGTTTGAAGTTGGTTAATGATGGCAGAAGACCACATCATTGCAAAACCACAAACACGTAGGGTTAAGGTTATTAGCCTTAAGGTTGGAATATTTGGTATTCAAGTACTTCGATTCTTGTGATTCAATGAAAGTATAATGAATTGAGCGTGGTTTGAGGTATTGGGCTATGAAATGTATTCTAGCCATGATTTTCAAACCATTGTTGGTCTGGACTAGTTATTTAGAATGGCAGTGTTTCAAATAAGACCAGCCAGAACCTAGAAGCTTCTCCTCTTAAACCTTTTGTTCTTTTTGTTTAAGGATAACACCACCCTCTTGTGCCTTAATTCCATTTCTACCAAGGCTAACTTCATGACCTTCATTACTCTAGTTGCCCTGCACTCCAACACCATTGGTTAACAGTTGTGGAAGACCACATCATTGCAAAACCACCAATACATAGGCTTAATGTTATTAGCTTTAAGGTTAGACTCTCTGGTATTCAAGCACTTTGATTCCAATTATTCAACAAAAGTACAATGAATTTAACATGATTTGAG